ATAGAAGCCACGAACCCGAATGCAGATTAATCGCCCGAAGCTACCGTTGTGTCTGTGTCCTTGCCTGTCCATTTGCCTGCCTGTTGACCCATGGTTTTTCTCTCCATCTGCCTGCCTATTTATCCATGCATTTTATGTGTTCTACCTGCGTATCTGTCTATCTCTCTATCCGATTGTCCATCCACGCATTTGCACATCTATCGACCTAGCTATCTATTTATCTACCTAACCTAATCTACGTACCTACCTATCCATCCATCCATCTATCTATCTATCTATCTGTTTATTTAATTATCAAATCTACCTATCTATCTATCTGTCTGTCTGTCTATTCATCTATCTATCTATCCAATCAATCTATCTATCTTATCTTATCTTATCTATCTTATCTTATCTTATCTTATCCTATCTTATCTTATCTTATCTTATCTTATCTATCTATCTATCCATCTATCTATCCATCTATCTATCTATCTATCTATCTATCTATCTATCTATCTATCTATCTATCTATCTATCTATCTATCTATCTATCTATCTATCTATCTATCTATCTATCTATCTGCTTCTCCTATGGTCAACCTAATCTAATCCAATCTCATCAAGTCAACTCCAATCTATCTTCTATCTTATTTATCCTAGCCTAACCTAACGTCATCTAACCAAATCAAATCGATATATTTCCTGTCTATCTATCGTTCTATCCATTTGTGTATCTATCCATCTATCTATCTGTCTAGCTAGCTTGCCTACCTGCGTATCTCTCATATCTATCCATATGTCTGTGCATCGATAAACCTAATCTGTCTACCTCTTTCCAAAATTCCGCGCCTGTCGCGCAACTCAACGGCGACCCAAAGTGGCTGCGCCTTCACAGAGTGCTGCGCATGTCACTTCACCGCAAAGCAAGCGGATTGGACAGGGCATGACGGGGCCAGCAAAAATGACACTTGTGCAAACGCCTGCGTGAAACGGCACGCAAAAGCAACGATTTGCGGGCAGGAACCAAAACAACATGTTGCAAGTCATACACATCGCACATTCTGAGCCTTCGGACGCTTGCGGACGAACCCCCGGTGCAGTTGGTTGCTGTCTGGGGTCTATGCTTTTGTAATGATAACTGGAACCCTTCCGCCACGCATTCGGCAAAGGGTAGAAGGGACAACCCTGGCAAGGATGCCGTTGCCGAGCCCACCCTTACAGGCATCACCAGCCACGACTGGGTACAGGTTTTGCTTCAAGAGTCGCGACTGGGCAGCGATGCGATGATCTCCGATGAAGCGTTCAATGCCACAAATGCCACCAACTCCACCGCTGCCGCAGTGACAGGCGTGCAGCTGAACAAAGCGGGGGACCTGGTGATCTTTCTCAGCGCTTTGGGCACGAACATTGGCATTGTGATCGTCTCGTTTCTCCTGCTGGCCATTCTTCGCCGCGTGCTGCCGCGCGTCTTCTCGTCCAGGCGCACAGGGGAAGGCCCGAAGCAGACAGAACCAAGCCCAGCATCGGGGGGCATCTTCGGCTGGGTGTCGCTCAGTTGGAGACCCACGGATGAAGTGGAGGAGGCAGCTGGATTGGATCACGCCATGTATCTTCAGTTTTTGGACTTGGGCTCGCGCTTGTGTTTGCTCATTGGCCTTCCTTGCGTGCTGGTGCTATGCCCCTTGCACTTCTTCGTGGGTGGCGGAGCGGCAGGGGAGGACCGATTGAGCAGCATTGGTATGGGCAATGTGCAGCATGGCTCCTGGCTGTGCTGGCTTCATGCCTTCTTTGTGTGGTACGCGCCTAGGGCTGCAAGCAGTGATGAGGTTGGTTTCTTGAACTAACGGCGAAAGCTTGAAGGAACACCACACCGGAAAGGGCACCGGGCCAATTTGTTTCTGGCACAACCCAAGTAGCTGCAGGGTCTACAGTTTGCATGCTACTTTGGATTTCTTTGCCTTGGGGAACTCCACTTACCCTCGTGCAGTCTTTGCTGAACATGCTGAACCGTTTGATTTGGTGGAAGCAAGCCAGTGCCAGTTGCCACCACTCCAAACTCTGCTCGTATAGCCGTTTAGCTTCTTCTGTCAGCGTAAAGAGCAAGGCCCCATGTTGATTGCATCTTGGGTTTGTTTCCAAGATGCTTTCTTGCGCTGCCTTCTCTGTGTGAGACCTTCTGGGCACCGGTGGCACCAGTGCGGACGCAAGGTGGTGCTGGTGATCCACGCGCAAGTGCACCGGGCCCAGAAGAGCTTCCTTCCTCTGAGGGTGCGCTGGCTCAAAGAGATGCCCACGCCCGCCGTGACCTCGGTCCTGCGCCTCGGAGAGAGGGATCGATCCGGCCGCGGTTTTCTTTCTTCGTTTTTTGGAGGGACACCTGGGGCCGCTAAGACGGTGGCCAAGAACCTAGGTGCCTAAGGGGTTCGGGTGTGCTTGTTTGTTTGTTTGTGTGTGTGCTGCGTTTTTCTTGGGTACTTCTTTTGGGGGTGCTCTTGCAGGGCAACAGAAAGAGCACCACACATTTTGGGGGGTTAGTCTGACACATACCCAACAACTGGGAGGGAGCAACATGGCATGGCTCAAGGTTTGCAAAAGGTGACGTCCCAGCAGCTGACCTCGAAGAGGCTTTGCTTGTTGGTACATTGGAGAGGGGTGGCGGGCATTCTGCAGGCTTCTTGTTTTTGTTTTTCTTCCGTTCCGGGCGCGGCATTGGGTTCGACTCTCGCCCTGTCTTAGCAGTAAGCAAGTGAGCTAGGACGCCAAGATGAAAGGATGAAAAGAACAAAGGAAGAAAATAAGATGCCTTATATGTGACTCATGTAGTTACTCTTTCCTGTACAGATCTTCCCTATCCCCATGGCCGGATGGCTGATATAAAGTGGTGTAAGACAGCGGTAAGGCCACATTAGGATATTTGTAGACTAGGCTAGTTTGCCTTTGGGTCCGCCCTTTTTTAAGCTGCAGCACAGGGACTTTTCTTTTCAAACGACGAGGCGACTGGGGCAGACGGTGTGGCGTTTGTTGATTCCTCCAAACATTGCGCCAAGGCCAAACTCTCAAAGGGGACAGGCAGGGTTGCTTTGGCCTCACCTTTTTACTGTACCCCACGTGTTGACCTGGAGATGGCGGAGTATGCGCCTGATCATTGTTAAGACGTGCTTTCTTTAAGCTCGTGCAGGTTGGATAGGCTCATCGAAAAGACGCCGGGCATGCGCACACAAGCATGCACACGCAAGCACGCGCACGCTCGCAGACACGCACACACACACACACACATACGCGGCCCATGGAGGTTGCAGAACATCCCCGAGCACCTCAAGACCGGAGAGGAGTTGCGCGTCTTCTTCGACGAGGGGGTCTTCGGCTACAAGGCGGTGAAGCGCGTGGACTTTGTCAAGGATACGCGGGCGCCTCGCCAAAACACTGGGCGGCAACTGGGGGGCCCAAGGCGAGCGGCAGAATGCCGACCCCACATCAACCAACCCCAGTTTGTCAATAGGGGAGTGTCCCTGGGTTTACTGGAGTTTTGGAACTTTTGGAGGGGAAGACTTCCTATCAATAAACTGGAGTTGATGAATATGGCGTCAACATTAGTGCCAAAGCAGCACTAGTTGCAGCGTTTGATTGTGCTCACCAGCACTGGCTGCCTGATTGAGAGTGGCGAGGGCAAGCCCCGCTGACCAATCATGTAGGGTAGTTGTTTCTCAGCTTCCTTGTTGATTTGCAACTCGGCGACGCGGCCCAGGACGTGAAATCATTCCCAGGCATTATCAACATAGAAATTGCTTGATGTGCATGTCCATTGGTCCATTGTCGTAGTAATTGGTAGTGATAGTCGTGGTGGTGGGGGTGGTGGTGGTGGTGGTTGTGGTGGTGGCGGCGGTAGCCGTGCTGGGGGTTGTAGTCGCGATTGTGATTGTGGAAAAAACTGGCACTGTATTTGGACAAAATCCAGGTCAGGGCTCCGCGACTTGTTTTGAGGGATGACCTGCGAAACTACACTGCCACCGCATCCCTTTCTGTGCGGCAACAACATTTACCATTTAGCCAAGCTTTGGAACGCATGATCCCAAGGGCAACCCAAAAGGCTGGCTAATCAATACCAGCAACAGTATGCGTCGCATTTGTGGGACGTACCTGCTGAGACAATCACAGGAACGACTTAGCATATCTAACGCAACAGATTCTGCTGGCAGGGCAACTGTGACAGCTGCCATGGCTCATCGTTGCTGATGATTTGTCCAGGACGCCTATTCAAGGACGCACTGCCTGAGAAAATTGGGCCATTTCTGTTGTGGAGGTTGCTGATTTTCGCACCTCCCTGCCAGTCTTGTGAGACTTGTTTGCGGTGCTCGTCGGCTGCTGTGCTTGAATCAGAGAAGCCATCCAAAAGGGTAGCAGAAACCCCAGCGGCTTCGGCCCGTTCAAAACCCACACCTCAGACTAGCGCAACCCAAGCCGACAACTCCTTACAAACTGAAGTCAGATCAAAGCACTACTCTGCACCCAGCTCCAACCAATCCAAGCACGAACAAAAACTATCTCGAAGCTACCCGTCGCATCCCAGTACGACTCTGCAAAACCAATCCAGGCCAGCTCGGTCGTCCCAAGGGGTTGTGCTTGGCTACCTGCTGATGCCACCATCAGCTTGCCAACTTGCCCGGTTTGTGGCCCTGCCCCTCTAGCCACCTCCAGTTTCTTTTCTGAATCCGGGTGGGCTTCTTCGATAAATTGCTACGGCAAATTCTATCGGGCTTCATATCATGTATATCATTGATACCATATATCACTTGTATCATTCATATCACTTATATCATTTATATCACTTATATCATTCATATCGCTTGTAGAATGCAACTACTGGATGGGTAAATTCCAATTTGCTCGTGCTTTGCCGTTCTTTTCGTTGGCCGACGCCCCCAGAGCACCTTTCGGGAGCTGCTCCAAGGAGCTGCTCCGATGGAAGCGCCATGCCCTGGAGAGCGCCAGCAACGGCGCAGCCTTCCGCACCGGGAACGGCAAGGTGGGGGCATTCATGGGGTGTGTTTTGTTCAAGCAGTTTGGGCCCAGCCGCTGTTGAAGCCAGAAGTGCACTGCCCGAAATGATTTAGGCAACCAACCACACACACACAGGGTTCAAGTGCAAAGGGCTCCCTTTGGCGGAAGCACTTCAACCCGTGCTCGGCATGCCGCGAATGCTAGCTAACCCTTTTGCCGTGCTGGAAGTGGTGCAGGCACAGTGTGGCAGGAGTGCTTGCGAATGCCGCCCAAAGAGCGCTCAAGTCGCAAGCGCGCAACTGGAGTGTGTTTGGGGCCGCTGCCCAAGATGCTGACGGGAGCAAAGATCTGGGAAATCCATGGAAATCTGCATGTCAAGGGTGAGCTGAGCTGCGCCCTTGCCACAGGTGGTTTGCCTCACGCGTATACTGATGAGAACCCCCCTGCAGGGAAGGGCGAAGGCAACTCAAACGAGATTGTTTGGCGCCCCCTGTCCATTCACTGCCCCAATCGTCACCCAGTTTGACCCTTCGCGGGAAGGGTCAGGGCTGTTTGTTGCCTGATTCATTCGGCCGAGATGTTGTTTGGTTACAGACGCGGCCGCGTTGACTTTAAGAGGACACATCCGCCTTCCCTGGCAGAATGCCAGCAGAGGCTCAGCGCAGAGCTATAAACCCTTCAAGCTGCAGTGGGATGGATGGGCTTGAGCATGGAAGCATTCGTCATGCGCAATACTTGTTTGGAAATAACCTATGCGATTGACTTTTGGCAGTCCCCCCCCATGAGTTATGAGCAGCTCAGCTTCAGGTGTTGCAAGGGGAGGAGCTTCAAGCCGTGGCCGAAAGCATGGCGGAAAAGCCGCTTGGCTCAATTTCTCTCTAGAGTGCTGTTTGTGTTATGTTTCCTCTCCTGGTCGTACGGGTTCTTGTTTTTTTACAGTTGTACATCATTGAAAGTGTGGGGTGATGAATTCAGATGCCACATGCAGAAGCATTGCTGCTGAAATTCTGGTACTGCGCCAAATCGGGCTCACGTCAAACAGTGTAACAGGGAAGTGCTCATTTTGCAGAGGGATTTTTCAACAGGAGGTTTGCCTTATTCAATTGTGCAGTGAGCTCACCGGTATAACGAGCTCGCCATGATAAAGGTCCTTTACTTGGGGATGATCCCTTACTTCAGCTTTTGGAATCATAGCAAGATTGGCAGATTCTGCAGGGCTACTTAAAAGATCTCCATTTTGCCACCATTTGCAACACGTGGCTTTTTCAACACCGAAATAAAGATGGACACCGCCCTTTGGAAGGCAATGCTCAGGTGTCTCCATTGTACGGAGGCCCTGGTCCGATGGGCCCATCGGTTCCTTCAGGCTTCGGAAGGAGGCGGTGCGGTCGGACGACCACAACCTGGCGGCTGCCTTTGTGACCTTCACCAGGCGCCGAGAGGCGAAGGGGTGGGACTCTGCCTGTGTGTGTTTTGTGTGTGTGTGTGTGTGTGCTTGCTTTTTCTTTTTGCGAAAGCAAATGCCCTGACTGATTGTTTTTGTAGGTCACGGTGTTTCCCTGAAAAGGGCGTCAGAATGCCAAAGATTGCCAAAGTGCCGGCCATTTCAAGGGTCCGGAGGCCAACCAGATCCAAACTGCAAAGCTTGAAAAGAACAAACAGTTACTTAAAAGGTCTCACCTATTCTTAGGCCAGCGCCTTTGAACCCGCCCGAATCCAGGCAGCGCTGGCCTACCGCCTGCTTTCGGAAGAGGACAACGACGGCATCCGCGCGGATTTGCCACCGGAACCCTCTGAGGCAGAAGGGCGGTGCCGAGACTACGGCCAAGTGACTTCCAACCGCGTCCCCCCCGCCCCCCCACCACAATCCTAGGCGCTGGCCACGTTTGTTGGACAATATTTTTGCATTCCGAATGCAGGTTCTCGTGTTATATGCTGCGTCTGCAGCCACCTGGTTGTATACTTCCATACCTTGACATGTAGTGACATTCCTTTGACCCGCTGTTTGGAAGGGCCCGTGTCTGGCGACATGCGCATTGGGATTTGCTCGGATACTCCTTCCAGGGAATCAACCGCACTTGCTGATGCACAGACGACACCTCGAGATGGGCAAGTTGTGCAGTTTGAAAAATCTGCCTCGTGCAAAAAAGAGATACAGTGGGTCAATGTTTGGCCGCGCAGGTCATCAGTTACTTGAACGTTTGGTGACATTTGCTTGTTCATTGCTGCAATTGCTACATTCCTGCACAAATTGGGCCTGGATTGGCCCAGCAAGCCTCAACACCATCCCGGCGGTACGCCGGAGCTTTTCCAGCTCTGCCCCTCTGCAACGACATGCCTCGCCAGACGCACTCCAAACGCATGAGGGCCGCATTCTTGTGCAGGTACTTTGGCAGGATCTGGCGATCAGCCCTGAGAAGCAGGCGGCGAAGGAGCTTGTGGGGTACTTCCTCATTTTCCTCATCTTCTGGGGTTTCATGCCGGTGGTTGTGTTGATCCAGTCCATCGCCAACTTGAGCACGCTGGAGCAGGACCGTTCACCTAAAAGTCTTTTGTAGGGCGGGCCAAGGAGCCTTGGCCAGCTGTCAGTTGTGCCCTCGTTGTGCGGCAAATGGGGGCCGAGCAGAGGATGGTTTTGTGTTGGGGTCAGTCAAGGGCTGCCATTCCGGCAGTTTCAAAGTAACCAAAGTGGCCTGGTCTAAATTGATGGTGGCATTTCGTGGGTTCCTCTGACCAGTAGGGTCCTCCGGATGTCTCACTTGCCACTGAGGGTGGCACAGTCAGGACGTGCCCTTCTTCCAGTACCTGATCACTCAGCTCCCGGTGCTAGCCACACTGTGGAACGGCCTAATGGCCTCCTTCGCATTGACCTTGGCCATGAGCTTCCTGCCCTCCCTGCTGCTGCTGGTCTTAGCTGTCCTTTTCAGTCAGCTGGGATGCGCTGGTTTCGATTTTGGTGCAGCTGGTTGAACCAGGCAGTCGGCTTCAGGTCTTGGCGTCAGAAGCCCCAGAAAGCCCCCATCAGGGTGCTTCATGGGCCAAGGTCACAACTGCAGTCCCGAGACGCGCCAAAGCAACCGAGGCTTCTGATCTTCACCAACTTCTTCGTGTCCAAGGCGGAGGTGGACCGCCAGCATCGGCTCCAGGCTGGGGGAAGGATCGCGGGTTGAAGGTGTCCGGGTGAGTCCGGGTGGGGTGTTTCGGACCCGTTCACCGGGGTATTCGTTTCATGCACTCTGCATCCACTTGGATGCCCGGGGAGAGCATGTGTTTTTTTTCCTGAAAGGCGCTGGTCTTTCTTTGTTCTTGGGAAGGGGCTGGGTCAATATTTTTTCAAATAAGCTGCGCCAGGTCTGGTACCATTACTTTCTGGTCATCTTCGTCCTGCTGGTCACCGCCATTGGCTCCTCCATCTTTGTCACCGGGAAATACCTGGTGGAGCATCCCTTTGAGGCGCCCAGCCTGCTTGCCAGCAACATGCCCAAGAGCACCCACTTCTACCTCAGCTCCTCACCGCAAGGGTGTGTCTTTGATGGCCCTCCCGGAAATTGTTTCAGACATATGTTGTTCGCAACGCTAGACGGGCATCGCCCATCCTGCTGCGGCTTTCTATTTGTGGGCAAACCGGCCTCTGGAATCAGGGGGGCGACAGACCACCAACCACACCCCATTCCCAAAAGAAGAAGGCTTCCAACAGGTGTCTGTGCACTTCCATGCTTGTTGCCGGGCGGATAACTCGTTCCAACTTTCAGTTGCATTTTCCAGCCATTGATCGCCCCTGCACCTGCCTGATTTGTTTTGGCAACAAACCAACCAAAAGGCAAAGACAACCCGCAACCCGCAACCAATTAGCAACAAGCAACAACCAGCAGCCAGCAACCAAACGACCCACAGTCAGCAACCGCGAACCAAAAAACCAAGAAACAACAAATGACAAACAACAAACAGCAACCGAGCCAACAATCAACAAACAGCAACCAACAGCTAACAACCAAATAACTAACAAACACCAACCAACAACCAACACCCCCTTCGAGGTTATGCTTGTTGGCCCGTAGGCAGCTATAAGTAAGACTTGCGGCTGTCAGAGCATGTACTCCACTCCATCGTTGCTCCCCATTGTCACTGTAACGAGATTTCTTCCATTTAGCCAACACTTCCTTCAGCGTTGAGCGCAGAAGGGGCACATGCGTCGTATCTGAGCACCAGACAGTAAGCTCACCTGGGTCGCATTTGGAGGACGATCACGGCCAGCCCTACTAACCAGCTTGGCTGCCGCAATTGTGGGCAGATCTCTATTCCAGCTTGCTCTGTTGGCCAGAAACGGAGCTAGGGAACCGCATTCCCGGCTGGGGGTCGTGTCAACACTAGTGTGCACTCCGCAGCACATCGGCATGAAGCTGAACAAGAGGCGGGGTTGACAAACCTGATCGCACCATATTCCATCATCCACAAATCTATTCCAATCACGCACCCAACATCACTATCATTTCCCCCGCCGCCAGGTTTGCAAAAACAGATCGTGTTGCTTGTTCCGAGGCTTCATCGCTATGCAGATGTCCTCATACGCCACCTCTGGCTTGCGCATGGCGCAGCTCACCAAGTACTTGGCCTTCAAACTTTGCTACGAGGCCGGCTTTGGGACCCAAATCGGCAAGGAAGGCGGCAGATGCGGCATGTGGCAGATTTTGGCATGTGTGGCAGTTGTGGCAGAAGTTGGCAGGGTTGGCGTGCGGCAAGGGGACCCCCTTCGGTCCTTTTTAGCTTTCGGTTGAGGCCGACAAGGCCAAGGAGAAGAGCGAGCCGGAGGACGACTCCTTCTATGGCATGGGCTCGCGCTCCGCCAGGGCGACCTTGGAGCTGGTGACCGCTGCTCGCCCTGAAGGGCGCGTGTCCGAACCGACCGGTCATCAGGGTTCGAGCTAGCTCAAACCCCGGGGGTTTCCCTTTGGGGGAAATCTACCACCCCCGGGTTTCGGTCCAGATTGGGGGGGTCAAAAAATATGGGGAGCCCTGCCACCGGAGCAGGTGAGCAAGGGATTGCCACCCTTTGAAAACCAAACGGAGCATGGCTGGACAGGCCTGACAAGGGGGAAGTGGGATCCCGGCCATTTGGGGCTTTGGCTGCGGCTGCGACTGCAGTGTTCCAAGGGGTTTTGTGCAGATTCCGGTCGAAAGAAACACAGAAGGGGGGGGAGTTCCCTGCCTCCAGTCCGCCCTCCCTAGACTCAGGGAGGGAGGAGGGGACGAGAGGAGGGAGGGAGATGCAACTTGCAGATGCGGCATGGTTGGATTTCTGGATCTGGGGCTGATCCCAGTTCTCTACTGCAAAAAAAAAGGTAGGCAATGCCTTCCAAACCTGGGCCTGCGTGCTTTTTTGAAGTTGCACGTTTGCTCTGAAGGGAAAAAACAGGGGTGCGAAAGTATTCAGCGTTCAAGCTCTAAGTGCCTGGGCACGAACTGGCTATTATTCCCGGGGGGGGGGGGGGGTGACTTGAGGCCTGTGATCCGTGTTTGAATTTTCCAGGATCCGGGGGGGGACAAGTTAGCATTCCGGGGGAGATTGATCAATGTCCAGGGTGCACGCAAATCGGATCAACCCTCCCCAAGCTCGTCCCGCAGGTGCGCGAGCTCTTGAGAAGAAAAAGGGGCTGGACCAACCCGAAACCAGCACTAAGCCAACCCTAAACCAGCACTAAACCAACCCAAAACCAGCACTAAAGCAACCCTAAACCCGCTTTGTCCCCCAAGGTGATCACGTTCTGCCAGCTGTCGCCCCTGATCTCCTTGCTGGGCGTCTTGATGTTCACGGCAGGGGGTCCTGGACTGTTCTGAGACGGGAGGTGGAAGAAAGGTGACAAAGCTTGTGTCACAAATATGGAGGGGCCTTTGTTTGGGTCTCATTTCGCTGATGGGCTAACTTGATGGCTTTTGTTGGGCTGATTTGGTGGTCATGTAGCCGTTGCTGGATGACCAGGGGGTTGATAGTGGTCGGCAACAATCGCCTGTTCGAGCTATGTGTTTTTGCACGGAAAACACTTTTGCTGCAGGACCCCCTTTCCAACAGAATTCTCCTGTTCCATGCCGAGAGGATGTTGGACTTGGCGAATTTCTGGCATGGGACCAAATTCGAATGAAACTGCATGAGCATACTCGGCACCTCTCCCCAAAAACTTGGCAGTGGTTCCCACCCAGTGCTTCCTCACCCCTCAACTGCTTGGCAGTTTCAAGGGAAGAAAACACGTCCAGTGCCTCATGTCCGGCTCTTTTTCCCCCGAGCCCGGGCCCGGCCGCCTATTTTGGGCCCCCGCGCCAGGTGAGCCGAGTGGTCCACAGCTTCCTCTTCCTGGAGGCCGAGGATCGGAAGCCCGACCTGGGCGGCGCCTTCTGGGTCACCAGCCTGCGCCAGGCCGCCTTTGGCAGCCGCATGCCGGGTGACACCAGCACTCCAGGGGTGTTTCACCCCGAAGGAATCAGCAAGTGGACCGCTCCTTGCGGAAAAAAAACCCTCGTGAGCGGGGTTTCTAAGGAGGTTTTTCTGCAGTGTTATGCTGCAAATGTGGATTTCTGAAGGCTTTGTCGAGAGCAGTCTCTCATCAAGTTCTTCGTCACTAGAAATGGTCAGCCCCGGAGAACGGGCAGGCAGGTTGAGACAAAAAAGCCCCACTCAAGAGACTTTCCCGCGTGCTTCCACCAAACAGCTTGGGCGAGATCTCCCCCATTCCAACGGCCAAATCCCCCCAAATCGAGAGGTCCAGCAGGGCCTCTTCCTCTTCGTGCTGCTGATGACCGGGGTGCTGGCAGAGCGTGCCGGGACCTGGGTGCCCAGCGCCATCTCTGCCTCCAGTGCCATGGCATGCCGCGGCGCGGGGGAATTGTCTTTCGGGCGGCAGGTAGCCACCCTTGGTGGCCGCTCTACTTGAAGTTTCTTTCTGGCTTCCAACCTTGGCCCATCCAAGGGGTCCAACACATTGCTGGAGGCCCCGCAAGAGGGAAAGGGGTTGTTCCCTTAACTGACAAGGTTTTCCCTTCAACGGAAAGTACCAAGGCGCCAGCGAACGTTTTGTCTTGCTTGCGGGTTGCTTGCATTTAGTTTTCCCTTCACAAGTCCAGCACGGCCTTTCCTTCGCAAGGCTTGGTCTTCGTGTACTGGTCCTTTGTAACCTTCCGGCGCCGCTACCGCTGGCAGCATCTCCAGGTGGGATGGTCGAATGAATTGAGGAGTACTTGCTTGAAAGTGGGGTGATTGTCTCAAGGGGGTGTCGCTTGGCCATACCTTCAGCAAGCCACTCAGATGCCCTTGTTGTACTTGCCTCTTAAAAATACAACTGTTCAACTTTCGGGGTAACATGGGCTATATGTCTGTAAAATATAAGCTTCCCCAGGGCTTGGAGTTTTAAGGGGTAAGTGTAAGTACATAGGGTTGACTCTTGCCGCTGCTGCGTATTCATGGTTCCAGCCGCAGTCTCCCAGTCCGCCGCCGTCTGCCTGAGCTGTTTGGCTACTGGTTGTGGGTCCCTGTGCGGCCGAACAAGCGCAAAGGCTTGCGATCAGGTCTTCTGGTCAGACATGGCCGTGGGTCAAAAGTAGGTACCCAAAATGGGTTGCCCTCGTAAATGGAATGAAGGACTAAAACCTGCGGTCCATTTCCTGGTGCTTCATTTTTGACCCATATATCAAGTCCTCGCGGTTTTACCAAAGCCGCGCCAGGTGGAGGAGGTGCTGCAAGAGTCGGAGCTGCAAAAGACCAGGGCTTCCAGCTGTGACCACTACATGCAGCCGGAGCTGCCAGGGGACCTTCCTCCCAAACCACAGGCCTTGCAGTGTGGAAGTCGGAAGTCGTCGTTCGGGATACGGGGCTTGAAGGGGCGCCAAGGAGAACGGACACTTGGAGACGTCTTGCAGTTTGCCATATAGCGCCATATGACTCGATTTTCGAAGGCAAGGATGAGCGGACTGGTTTGTTTTGGTTGATCGCGGCGATGCGACGCATGCGTGTGGGGACCAAAGTCAGGGCTTGCAACCTGCCAGGGCCTTCTGGAGGCAGTGGCAGTCCCTTGGCTGCAGCCCATCGTAAAGGCCAGGGTTCAAGCCATTTTGGGCAGATGGATCCGCATCAGAGGCATATTCTGATTGAGGTTCACACCTTGCAGTGCTTGTTTGCTTGTTTGTTTGTAAAGGGGAAAGCTGGGAAAGCGGTATATTTTGAGGTATATTCTAAAAGCATTAAAGCAGGCTTCCACTTTTTGGACTACCCCAGGGTTAAACCCAGGTGTGGTTCATTCCCCCCAAAACCAACAAAAACCCTGGGTTTGAGTCTATCTTGGGTCAAAAAGTGGACCCCTGCCCAAGAAAAGCATGTCCTTCCGGTCTTTGTCTCTGGGTCGCTTTTCCATGGTGTGGGCCAAGGCCATGCGCACCAAGCTCCGCGTGTTCTGAGCGCGAAGTCCGTGCGACCCCAGCGCCACCGAGAAAAGGGCGCGGCCGTTGCTCGCGGTGCGCCGGTGAAGGCCTGGGGAGAGCGCCATGAATTTTGCGGAGCAATTCACAAGAACGGATGGCCTTCCATCAACAACTTCAACCTGCAACAAGTGCAAGTAAAGAAAAGCCGCCTAGAAATTCGGGTGGGTCGTTCTGCTGCCGCTCCTCAGGAAGTTGACACCCCAGCCCAATCTGAAGCAGACTCAACACGTGGCGCATGTTTTGCTTGGCAGCGGTGGCCGTTTTGGTTTTGCCGAGGCTGGCGCTCCTCATCTTGACCAGGATGGAGTTCCCCATCAGAAGTCCGCAATCCAAAGTCCTGGCGGCGGGCAATATTCTCCTGAGGCCCAGCTTGCTGCTTGCTGGGTTTAGTGGGGATTCATCACTTTTTGGAGGGGAAAACACCCCATATTAATACACGGGGGTTTATTAATCCGGGGCCAACATTGCGGTCAGAAGCCCTTGGCTTACCTTGGCTGACCTGGGCTGGCATTTGTTGGTAGGGAGAGGGGTTTCAATCATAAGCACCGCTTGCCAGGTGCTTTTCTATCATGTCGGAATTCCGTGTGGTGCCGGTGGTGGGGCCGCTGATTATCGCAGTCTTACAGTCGTTCGCACCGATGATCGGAATGTTCAGCTTCATGGGAGCCTCGGGCGGTCAGATGGGCTGGTTTGGTGGTGTCCTTAGGAACCCTCCTCCAAAATGACCAGCAGATCGTTTGGTTTCCTTCCATTCCACCAAAGAAAAGGTTCCCAAAGAAGTGCCCTTGATTTCGTTATGAGTTTTGTGTGGCTGTGCACCCATACGCCGCGATGCCCAGGAATGATGTTTGTGACCTTCGCATTCACCTTCTTGACCATGAAGGACGATGATAGAAGCGCGACTTACGCGCCCGTGCTGCAATGTTTCGGGCGCCAACAATGAAGGTTTGCTTCTGACTCGTGTTGTGTGATGCCTTGCTTCCATCTGGCTGCGGGTCAAAACCAATGGTACCATTCTGGGGTAGGCGCACCCCTCATTTTTGTCTGTTTTGGTGGGGAGTGGGATGTTCACTAGGGGTACGGGATTTTGACCCATGGCCATCTTGAGGTGCTGCTCAATCTGTACCAAGCGCTGTTCCTCACAGATAGTGATGGCGCTGAGAGTATTTCGGGCATCGACATCGGCCATCAGCAGACGCTGGACTTCGGGGTGGAGATGTACACCGGCAGGGGCAGCCCGTGGCTACTGAGAGCCTCCACTTTGTGTATGCTGTTCGCCACCTCCACCTTCTCCTTGGTGTTGCTGCTGCTTGGCGTAGAAGAGTTCCACGCAAGCGAAAAGGGCAGGAGATTTACCACCAACCTCGGGGTGCTTGTGTATGGCTGGCTGCTTCTCAGAGAATGAGAGCGTGAGTGGCTTTGCAGAGGTCTTGATTTTGTCCTTCCCAAGCCCTGTCCCAACTCATCCCGGTCAGGAATCTTACGATCGGCATGTACACCAAGTTCTATGAGATTCAGGCCAACCGGAGTGTTCTTTTTTTTTGTGAAAGCCCAGCAGCCCGGAACGGCTGTTGATCAACTCTGCCTGCTACAGAAAGTCAGGCCCAATGGGAATCAGAACCAATTCGTCCGGCTGTTCCACTATTGGCAAATTGGGGTTGGGCCAGCTGCACGGCCGGGGCAGCGTCGGGAACATGTTGATTTTATGCAGCACAGCTAGGCATTTGGGTGGAGTTGTCGCTTCGGATCTGCCACGGCATGGCGCTTGCCCAGGAGCCGTTGGCACGACTGGCATTCCAGCAGTGTCGGGCCAGGCCGAGGGAGAAGGGGACGTTGGAGAGGATGCCTGCTAGGATCAACATGTGGGTCAAAATCCAAATCGTACCCCTTTGTGAACATCCCAATCCCCACTAAAATAGGTTCTAAGATGGGTGGTGAATTCACCTACCCCAAAATGGGATCCCATCGGTTTTTGAGCCATGGCCATATCAATTTGTGCCCTCCCGGCCGCCAATGCGGACACTCACTAGATCTGGGGCGGCGGGGGCGGCAGGGGGGGGGGGGGGGAGCAGCAGCCGCTGAACAAAAGGCTTCCTTCCATCCACATCCCGGGTTACGAATTGCAAATGAGCATGCAGGTAGACCAGCAATTTAATAGAACCAGACCAGATAGGAGACAGTTTCCACCAATGGCTCATGGAAATTTGCAAGCCCTCCATTTGGATAATTTTTGAAGGTGCGCCGGCAGGGCTTGGATGGTGGCCGCCTTGTCGGACATGTACCCCCCCCACCGGTTAACATGCAAGCTGACAGGGGGTCCCTTTAAAAGGAAAATTGTCTTCCAGGACCCCCCTGTTGGGTTCCATTAATTTGTGGGAGGGTACTTCACGACTTTTGGAAAAATGTGTTGTTTTCCTTGGTAAATGGTCCGTTTTGCCGCTTTCGGCAAAGTGGTGGTGAAGCCAGTTTTCATCTTGTGACATGTTGTCTACGATGTTGTCCCTTTTGTCACGAAAATTCAAGGGAGCCTTTCTGGCTCACATAAAGAGCAACTTTGTGAGCCTGCAGTTCCCTCACAGGAGGGCTCAACCAGTACCCTGGCTCGGCTGATCGGCTGAACGCGAACAAACTCCAGGTCCATTGCGGTAAATTGCTGAGCTCCCCTATGGACAACTTGGGTGTCCCGGGATGTGTGACTCGGAGGATCAGCGTGCGCTTCCTGCTGAGACCCGCGCTTCCCCCGCGGCTCCTGGCGACCTTGGCCCGCTACGGGCTCACGGCGGCGCGGGCGCGCTCCGCCTGCTGCGCCTCGACTCGCTCCAAAGTCTGAGGGCCGGTGGAGGGGGTTGGCACCCGGTGACACCGCTTCCCGGTGGTCTGGTCTTCGATTTGTTTGGGCGTGGTTCCGATTTAGGGCAGATGAACGCTGGTTTTGGCGTTTTTCGGCTTGTTTTTTTTTCGTCGTTTTTGTGTGTTTTTTTCCCGGGCGAGAGCCAGGTCCATGGACTTCTTCAAGAGATCGAAAAGACGGCGTCTGCAGTTGGCCAAATCCCCCTGAGCTCAAAATTTGGAGACCCCTTTGGAAGCTGGTCAAGGCATAAAACAAAGAATGAAACCTTTCTCAGTCCTCCTGACCCTTTCCTCATAAGGAGGCTGCCATTCCCTTTGTCCCTAGTTTTAGCGTGGCAGCGGCGGTCTTTCCAGCTTTGCTGAGTTTGAAGTTCGGCGGCCAGTTGTGCACCTGCTAGCGCCAGAGCATGTGTTGGGAATCATGTTAGCGGAGGAATGTCCAGGTGTTCCTCCTGGAGTAAACCTGAAACCCTGCAAATCTTGATGATTGCTGCAGCAACTTGGGAGTTTTTGCAAGGAACAATAAACAACTCTTCCTGGCCCCAACCGAATCCCACAAAGGTACGGCAGGTACGGGTTTGTAACTCAGCATGGGCTGCGAGTCACGAAGCCAGCTAGAGAACTGAGGCTGGTGAGTGAACAATCATGGGCAGTCCTCATGGGTGGTGGTGGCGGTAGCGTCGAGGGTGGTGGTTCGTAGCATTTCTTCGTTTGGGCTTTGGGTTCACGCTCGCATTGCTTTTCCGGCATATTTCCAACCCCTCTTCTGGACCCCGTGGAAATGTAGCAGCCAAGGCCTTCCCCCCTACGTAAGACACCCTCGGCTCTGGTTACTTCGTTTGGGCTTTGCGGTGTTTCTGGACGAGGCCTCCTTTCTTTGCCTTTCCTGATGGTGCACCTCATCGCCGGGACCCCGGTGAGAGGCTTGGGGCAGCTTTCCGCAGATTAAGCGAGGGACATTCTGAATGCTCAGTCTGCTTGTTTCGTGCAGATGGTCACTACGGACCATGTCCTTCTTTCTCATAAAAGAGACTTGGTCGAGGTCATCATCAACCATGTTGTCTGTTTTTGGGGTGTTGGTATTTTTTTGACTTTTGGCGGTGTTTGTCTTCTGTGGCTTCTTGGTCCCATGCCCGCCAATCAGCACTAAACCCGCAAAAAGTCCACCCTAGCCCAAGCCAACCCAGAACAAATCCAAACCTCTACACCCACCCTAGACCCACACGAAATCAAGCCTGAGCGAAACCTGAACCAACCCGACCCAACCCTGCCTTAAACCACACCAACCCGACCCCAAACCAGCCCTGCCAACCCACCCACCCTACACCAACACTAAACCAACAGCCATGCTGCGCCCCAACAAAAACACAAGATGCTATGTGTGCTCGAATGTGCTGTGAAATGCAGCTTTCTGGCACCCCGCGGAGAAAAGCAACAAGAACATCTTGAATCAACACCAGCATCGAATGAAATCTTTGACCCTTGCAAAGGGCTTTGGGGAGGGTGAGACGTTGAGACACCGGAAAATCGCAATTCCGGCCATTGGCCAGGGATTGACAATGTGAGAAGGGAGTTGACATGTCGTGCCTGAGGTTTGCTTCTTCCTTGGGGATCCCGTGGTGGCTGGAGCGATTCTCTCTGCAGGCTTGCTAATCGTCCAAGCTGCGTTGCTGAGACTTGGCTGATCCGCCTTTGGCAGAACATCCTGGAACAGAGGTGGAATCCGGCTAAGCTTGCGGATCCCGAGGATAAACAGCACGGATTTGGACAGGCGGCATCAATACTTGTGGGTGAGCAGCTTGCCTGGACCAAGAGAGGCGTTGTCAGCACATTGCTTCCACCTGTGCACAAAGGCGTTCGCTCTGACTACAGCGAGAACTTTTACATGAACCAAGACGTGGAGTTGCTTTGCCTTGTTAGATGCGTCCACGGGGGGTTTGTCGAGGCTTCATTCGGCGCTCCCAACCAGAGCCTTTATTGATGTAACACTCCTTTGCCAGAAGCTTGAGCCGCATACCCAGTCGAGCATCCAGGTGTTTTTGCAATGTGTTTTGGTGCCCATGGGTGCCTACAAGAAATTGCCCGAATGTTGCACAGCTTTGTTATTGTATCTTTGTAAAGGACGGTTTGAAGAGAGGCCCCCCCGATCTGGAAACAAAGGGCTTGAGAATGCCTAATAGTTTGCGCCAAACAGCGGCTCAAACAAGCAAGTCAATGGAGCCGAGAGTTTGTTCATTCCTCCAGGGGCTGCATGACTCAAGGGGCAACTTCGGAACCGAAACAACCAGCTGCCAAGCAATGACTGGGTACCTTGGTTGGCCTATTTTCTGCTTGTTCGACGGTTCTTGGTTCCGGCCTTCAGCCACTGCCCATAGGTGTCCTTTTTGGTTGTTTTGGTGGAAAAATCAAGGGCGATTCCTGGTTTACCTGGCCATCCATTTGCCTAAAGGGACACCTATGCGCTTGACTGCTATTGGGTTGGATCTTTAGACTCTAACTTTTCGGATTCCCTTCATATTTCCTTTGAACCAGCAACAGGTAAAAAAAAAAAAAAAAACAAAAAAAAAAACAAAAACATGAAACAACAACATGCAGGGGCCCGGCTCGAGCCTCGAGTTGCCGAGGCTGACGCATCTCAAGTCGGAGTTGCGGGACGCCGAGCGGCGCCAGAGCGAGGAGATCGCGCGACTGGGCACCGACGCCGCTCCGGCCGCAGATTTGCGCGACCTCCCTTTGTGAGGTTTTTTTCTCCACCACGGAGGTAGGTGAAACACCTGGCTTAGGTTTTCTTCACCGAGGTAGGCGAAAAACCAGCAGTTCAATCCCAGGTTTGTTGGATGCAATCGATTTATTGGATGGGAGTCCGGTTTCGAGGTGCAGAGGCTGGAGAAGATGGTGGAGCAGCAGTGCAAGTTGGCTCAGGAAGCGCTTCGGCCAGAGCGGGGGTGCGCCCCGCAGTGAGGCTGGGGCTGCGAAGGCTTGAGGTTTTGGGTGGCCAAGTTTTTGCAGCAACACCTTCAGAGAGTTGGCCGTGGCTCAGCAAACCGGTTCCAGACTGGAACCCTGGTAAGTGGAAACATGGACCAACACCTTTGTAACCCCTCCGGCTTAATTTTGAGCCACACCCTGTTGGTTGTGTCACGGAAACATTGCCGGGCAAATTGTTTTGGGGCACAAGGCATGGGATGGGGGCGACGGATTGCAGGCCATCAGCATAGCCTGGCGCCAAAGGGGTGCGGCAGCGTGGATGATTTTAAAACCAGTGGTGTTGCTCGCGCGCGAGAGCCAGGGCAGATCTTCTGCGTGACTCATTTCTCCAAAGGCCCCCGATTTTGACACTCACGTTCCTCAGAGGCCTTCGGTTCCATTGCTTTAGGTGAAGTGAAGGAGTGCGCAGTGTGAACGTTTCGCAAACGCTGGCTCAATCACGGGGGGGGGGAGGACTGGCATCAAGCCGAATTGCAGCACGAAGTGATGCAGACTTTTTAATTAGCCCTTCCAGGTCTAGGAGTCTAGCAGTTCCAGAGCCCATGCCCCGCAGCATTCATGCAGCCCGAAGCACATGTTGGACGAGTTGGCATCCATTTGCTTCATGTGACTCGACTCCTGGCCTGCCATGGCTGCCGTGCGCTCAGCTCAGTTGCCGGGGGAACTGCTCGGTTCAGCGAGCCCAGGCAGAGCGGGAAGCTTTGGTGCAGGCACATTTTGCCGGGCGCCTCAGGGACTCAGGGCGGGGAAGTCATGTTGCACTTGCTGCAGAAAACTGATGCGAGGGCTTGAAAAAAGACACCGGGCTTGCGCCGCTGCTATGGGCGGCTGCCAGAAACAGGTGCATTGACCAGCGGCAGCAAGCGTGGGCCGCCCGCCTTGGGTTTCGGCTACAGCTGGGCTTCCAAAGCCATCCCCGGCTACGGCCCAAGGGGCGCCACTTGTTTTCCATGGGATGAGCGAGCCCTTGCGCCTCCGGAACTGGGCGGGGAACTTGCAGTACAAGGCCCACAGCTTGCACGAGCCCTCCAGTCTGGCGGAGGCGAGCGGGCCTTATGGGCTGATGGTGGGTGACGGGGCAAACAACACGCCGGCGGATTCTTTGAGGGCCTCTCATTTTGATGGAATATACCTTTGGGGGGAACAACCTTCCGCAGGGTTTAAAGTCAACATGAACTTTGTGCAAACCCGGTGGGTGAACGATGATTTCGGCTCTTCAGGCAAGTGCCACATTTGGCTTCCGAGTGAATGCCCCGTAAACATGGACCACGCCCGCTTTCCAAAATGAAAGCTGGCTTTGAGAAGTCTGAGAAGTGTGTGCGATGAATGTTTGGTGGGAGGGCAACTGGGCAAAAGAGGGCACGTCTTTACAGGCACACTGTTTGAGCAAGAATACGGTTGGCTGAAGCGGGCAGGTTTGCCATAGCAGCATTTGACCGATTCAGGGCTTTGACTGGCTTGGTAGTGCTGGTGCGAAGGGGGTTTCGGCATTCACTGGTTCCTCCGTATCATTTCGCTTTCAATGCTCCATGCTATGCCCCCACCTGGGAAGAATGTGAGGCTAGAACTTCCTACAGGTTGCTGGCTCTTTGCTACTTGATGTTTGCCCACATGACTGGCGAGCTTTTGTTTGAGCCGACGGCACCTCAACACGTTTTGTCTGACTGACCTACTGACTACTCGGCCTCTTGCCGCTCAGAGGTCCAAGCCATCGTGCGTCGGTGCAGACAACTTCGACGCTCAGACGATTTGGAGGGGGGTGGACGCTTAGATCTTAGGCACAAGCGGCGCATTGTATTTCAAAAGGTCCTCCAGAAGCTGGCCTTTGCCTGTGCGGCTCGCGGCTCTGCATGCCTGACACGTGGTCCCTGGATTTATTCTCTTGGATTTGCACCAGAGGAACGCAGTTCACGCACTGGATGCGAGACTCTTAACACATTAGGTGGTACCAGGATGCATTCAGAAGTTGTTGACGCTCGCTTACGTGACGCTCGCTGCTCTGGTTTAGATGCCTTGGCACCCTAGGCAGTTGCAAGACAGGTAGAACCACTCTGTTCCTGAATAAGGACATCCCTGATCCTTTACAGGCACCTAATAACCTTTGCTTGGGCTGCACGCCTGCAGCACACCAATGTGCCTGAAAAGCACGGGGCCTAGATGCCACTGCAACAGTTGCTTTAAGCAAAGTCCTTGGTGGACATGGGCCAATATTCCCCCACAGGTTGCTCTCACGCGCAGCTGGCGATTCCCTGCCACCAATGAACATGGAACCTGACAGAGGGTCTCTTTAGAAGGACGATTGTCTTCTAGGCCTCCCGGTCAGGTTCTATGCTAATTGGCGGGAGGGCGCTCTTTCCCTTACTCCTTTTTCTTTGTTGCTGTGAGAGGAAACTGATCTTCCAGGTGCTCTGCCAAAGGTGCCCAGTGGGAGGAAGCGTGCTCTGCAGTCAAAAGGGCAAGTCTTTTTTTGGACAGGACCTCTTCATTTGAGCCCCAAACCTCAGGTTCCATTTGAATGGTGGGAATGTGAAATGAGTTATACACAACATATCTATATACAGTGACTATGTATATATATATATATATACATATTTGTTTACCGGGTATACCGTTCGGAGTCAGCCAATCCTCTCCATTTGGACCGAGGCGTTTTGGGCTCGCGCCACTGCTTCAACGCCATCGCCGATGCCGAGGAGCTCCTCCAGTTTGGCTTCGCGGCGGCGGATGTGGACGCGGCGACCCAGCGCGCCTCAGCGATGGGCTCCCTTTGAAGGCCTTGGGTTCCCTCTGCTGGTTTTCCCATTGGTTTCCCTTTGGTTTTCTTGGGTTCCCTCTTGGGAGCCCAAAGGATGCATTGAGATTAGTTCCCTTTGGTTTCCCTTTGAGGCACCGAATGGAGCAATCCTGTTCTCCCAAAAGCTGGCCTCGAGGCTTGGCTTGACTCCAAAATGTATACCCTACACATGTATTCTAGGGGTCCCCTTCCCATTCTTTCCAGGGATCCTTCTTTCTAAAACACCTCCACAAACCCGGGAAAAAACCAGCTGGTTCTTGAAAAGAACAATTGTTTAAAAGAAGGGGGAATCAACCCCTGGATGTATAGATTTCCTGTTGCCCTCCCAGCAATGAACATGCGGGGGTCCCTTTACAAGGAAATTGGTCCAAACCAGGGTGGGCGGGCATTTCCTGTTACATTGTTGCAATAGGCTAAGCACGGGTACGGTTCCCAGTGACCTTCAATGGGCTTTGGTTTCGGTGCCATTGTCCATGGGCACGTGCGTGGAGGAGGCACCCACGGTTATGGTATGTGCATGACCGCTGGTAGGCAATTCTGGGGCGCAGCCATGCTGGCGTGCTGCCATTGTTTTTACGCATTCGAAACTCCATGCCCGGGTCATTGGCCGCCAGATGGCAAGTGTCATTGGCCGATGTGTGTGTTTTTATCTTCTTTTTTTGTTTTGGGGGGGGGGGGCGCATTTATGGACATCCGGCAATTTGCAGGGAGGCGGTTGGCAGCATAGCCTTCGTCAACTGGAAGTGCCGGATGGGCCACTCCAGGGTCAACATGGCTGGTTTGTTCTGCTTCCTTGGCTAGCCTGAGGCGTGCGTGTTCAAGGAAGCCTCTCCTATGCCCAGCTGTGCCCGCTTCTGCAGGATGCGGGCATGGCGCTGCACAACTTGGCCTCTTTGCCTCACATTTCCGCGACTCGGTCTGGAGATGGGAGTTTTCTTCTTTTTTTTTGGGGGGGGGGGCTTGGACGCAGACAGGGAACTACTTACATCTCTAAGGGTTGATTCCTTTTCCATTCTTTCCAACCATGGTTCTGTTCGAAAACCGGATCCGTTTCCCTGGGTTTCCGGAGGCTTTCTAGAAAGAAGGATCCCTGGAAAGAATGGGGAAGGTAGCGCTAGAACAGGAGATTGAGACCCGGTGAAAAAAACAGCAAACGTCGCACAGGACTGGCAGGGCAGAGTGTGGGCAGAACTCACTCGCAGGTTTGCTTTCCATCTCCCAAGCCTAAGGCTCATGACCCCATTCCAGGCCCCCAGGCCATGAGGAAGCTTCTCATGACCCCTCCAATGAGGAAGCGTTTTGTTTGGGAAACCGACCGCCGAAGGGAGGTTTCAGGCAAGCTTCAGGTAAGCATGAACTGCTGGACTGAAGGTTTGTCGGTTTGAGAACCGCTATCTTGCTTTCTAGCAGGTGTTGGGGCCGCTTGCCGATCTCCAAACTGGTCCCAACTTCCAAGGTCGCTGGGGCGGTGTCCACAGCCACGCACGGCGCGGGCCAATGTAACGGGAACCTCGCGACGGATCCACAGCTGCAACTGGCGAATGGTCGCAATGATGCGGTTCAGCAATGCTGGCTCCCCAAGCCGACCTTTCAACCTGTTCGTTTCTAGTCTAGAGAAGCAACTGGGGATCGCCCCAAAGAGACTTAAGACTTGAGCTCACACCATTGCGAGCGGCCGAAGGCCTCGAAACGACTCTATGCGAGAACCGCGGGCTGGAACTGACACCCAACAAAAAGGGGCGACATAAGCCGAACAGAATGTTCTCGGTTGCCCAGTTTGGACACAGAAATCAAAGGTAATCACCTTCTGGAGCCGCTCAAAATGCACCAAACACCGAGAGTCTATTCAATAACGTAGCTTGAGATGATCTGGCTTGGGCACATTTAGGCAACTCTGAAGGGGATTTAGTTGCACTCGCACTTTCGCTAGTGTGCTTGACTCATACAGGCCAGCCCTAGAAGTTCCGCCTAGAACCGCCAAAAACCCGAGAGAAAAAAGGAAACAAAAAAACAAAAAAAAGACAGGTGAGTCACAATCAACACCCGGGTAGATGAAGGTTAGTAAGGGACGATCCCAACCAACTCCTTACATGGTTTTGGGTAGACCAGTTTAATGCCGGGTTCGGATTGTGACTCAGGTTCTTTTCCGGGTTTTGGTCCCGTTTTCTCTTTGGGGAAAGCGGCATGCGGCGGTCCGGTTTCTAAGGCGGTGGTGGGCTTGAAGCTGGTCCTTGCCTCTGGGGAGATGCTGGAAGTGCGGGAAGGCGATGCCAGGCCTGGGCCGGTTTTGGGAGAGAGGCGGTTTGGGTGACCCCGTTCGATGGAGTGGGGTGGGGGGTGGGTTGGAGGGGTTGGATGGGTTTGGGTTGGGGGGGTTGGGGGAGGGGTTGGGGGGTTCCATCTTTGGCATGAATGCAATTGGGGCCAAGACGGCCAGTGATCTTTTTGGCGACCAAGTTTCAGTGGCAACGAAAAGCTAAAGGGAGCACAGTTGCCAGTCCTGCTCCCAATGACGTGAGAAGTTGTGAGTGGTCACAGCTGGGGGGGGGGGGCAAGTTTTCGCCCAGGCTGCAGCAGATGGTGGTTGGCCTTGGCTGCCTAGGTGCGGTGGCCAAGACCGCGTAAGTTGTCGAGGGGCAGCAAAATGCGGACTTTTTTTCTTCTCTTTTTGTTTAAAGCGCCACTGATCCAAGAAATGTCCAGGGCAATCCTGGTGGGAGCATCTTGCCTTGCGGTTGGGGTCCTTGGCGCGATGGAGCAACCTTGCATGGTAGTTTTGCTTTCCTCCTGTGTTCTCGGGGGGGGGAGGGAGATAGAGAGAGAGAGCAAGAGAGAGAGAGAGAAAGAGAGAGAGAGCAACAGAGCGCGAGAGGGAGAGAGAGAGGGAGAGAGCGAGAGAGCGCGGTCGCAATTCAGTTCCGTACC